TTTAGATGAAACTCAATTTAAAATTAAAAATAATTTATATTATATATAAAAAAACACGTCCAATATAAGTATCTGCCTTTAGCATTTTGTCTTTCGTTTTAGCCCCGTTTGATTCCTATTAAATTCAATTACATTACATTTTTCTCTCTCCTATTTTCAACGATACAATCTTTTATAAATAATATTACACGTAAATCGAAAATTTTCCTTCTTTTTCAATCACTCATTTTTAAAAAAAAATACTATTGCCCCCATTTTCATTTTCAGATAATAGGGTCAAACGAGAGCTTAAAAGTAGCAATATTACAGAAATAGGCTGAAAATAGGCTGCACACGTATCGATATATTATTGAAGAGTTTGAATTTTTTTAAAAATAAAAAATTCTACAACTTGTTATCATATCAATCTATTTTTTGTTTCTTGTTTTTTAGCCTCTATCATTTTCCTTAAAAGTAATATGTGCAAGGCACCTCATCCTTGTTTCTATGAAAGACACCCAGATATTTACGCGACAGATGTTCATTGGACCATGTTTTTTCCTGGTTAATGTCTGTCACAGTCTAATAGTTGGATTAACTGTGTGATGTGACAGAAGAAAGTCTTGGCGGAGTCTTCAAAATATGAATATTCGTTTTCACACTTGAATGTCTCAGAATTCATTGCTAAAATACAATGTATTGGCAGGTCTCAAGCCCCACAACCTTTAATATTTCCTGTCTTCATATATATAAGAAGATAAAGGAGAAAAACTACAAAGTATTGGCAGGTCTCAAACGTCAAACCCCACAACCACTAATATTTCCTTTCTTCATATATAAGAATATAAAGGAGAAAAAAAATACCCTCAGACCATAGTTCAGTGGTGAAAGCGACAGAAGTGAGATTATCTTACGCCTTGCTGACAGCCGCAGTGTGGAGGTTCGATTCCTGAAACATGAAATTGGACTCTTTGTAGGCGCAGTGTATAAGCAGCTTTTGTTCTCTGGCCTATTGGGACACATTTTGGGATTTACTTCACTCACAAATCTCTAGGGGCGGGACGGTGGGGCTCTCAAGATTGGAGTTCAACTTTTTTTATTTATTATTTTTTTATTTTTAATAGATAAAGGAGAAAAACTACAAAGTATTGGCAGTTCTCAAACCCCACAACCATTAATATTTCCTGTCTTAATATATGAGAAGATAAAGGAGAAAAACTACTCCACAAATATTCAATTAATCATAGTACACAGAGATAAAAAGTCGAGTTTTGTTTGGCCTAAATTAAGCTGAAGTTCTTCTTCAGTGAGGATACAAATTTGTCTCCTTCAATGATTTCGTTTTTGTTACTTTGGAAGATATAGTTCACAAGTCAGAAAACCTAAATAAAGTGAAATTTAATTTATCACACCAACTTGTGAATTTAATTAAATATTACTAGATCACAATTGGATAATAAAACTTGATTCATGACATAGTTTTTTAGGTATCGATAAGTCAAATTTGATATTATCAATTTAAAAGTTTCGGATTGTAAATTAGCAAAACGTAGAGAAATAAGTGCTCAATATGTTTCGTAAAGTGCTTACTAAATTATTGTACTTATAATTGGATCTCAAATTAATATCTCTTTAAAAAAAACAAAGAAGTGAATAACTCTAATTAAATAAGGACAATTCACGTCTTTATCTGATTATGTATGCAAGAAGTTGAACAGATTCAGAGAATGAATAAAGTTGGATCATTCCCACATAGACTATGCCACAAATTTGGTGAGACTAAACCTACGTAAGTGAAGTAAAATTGTAAGAGAAATATAAGGTTTCTATACATACATATGCAAGTCTCCAGACTATCTTGATTTTATTGTAAAACTGCACCTAGCCGTCGAATCCACAATTTAATTGCTTTTATTTATTTTTATTAAGTGACATAGTGTAATATGATATAAAAATCAGACAAAAATATTGAAATAATTTCTCCATATTTTAACTACTAAAATGTTCGACTATCATCATTACTCAGCTATTAAAAAAATAAATTAATTAAGAATTAACTTTTTATTTAGCCCCTATGTCTCCTTTAAAAATATTTTTGCACGTAAATTTAAGCTTTTTTTCCCTAATTTTTAAGTGCACATTTTATAAAAAAATTATTATTCTAAATATCATTTTTCTTAATAATTGCCATAAAATAAAGGGATTAATTTATACAAAAAGAATCTCTTAAATATAAAAACCAAAAAATTTAAAAATGAATTTGATGGTTTTCCTATTTTTTGATTTGTGCATTTCATTCTTGCACAAGCCCATGCTAATTTTTTCTGTATCGTTTTAATTTAGACCATGTTTGACAACAATTATTTGTTGAAAATAAAATTTTTTAGGAGAATATATGATTAAAATGTAGGAAAAATTTTGAATTTATGTCCAAAATAAATATGTAAAAAAAAAAATGTTTAAAAATAATGATCGTCCAAAAAAAGTGAGAAAACCACGTGCATAGTTTAAAAGTCAAAACTCCCTATGGGAACTGCGAAAAAGTTTCAAACTCGCCGGCTGATGCACACATGTGACGTATTTGATTGATGATTGCCATTGTCACCCCCACCCTACTCTGCCCTGCTTCCCAGTACTATAAATAAATCGCAGCCAGCATTAGTGAAATCTAATCCATTTAGTTGTCTGAATAATTCTTGTGTGGAGCTTGTGTAAAGAGGAAAATGGAAAAGGGTAAGACCAAATCATCTTCTTCTGCAAGTCGATCTCGAAAAATTGAAAGAAAAGTTGTTGAGAAAAACAGGAGAAATCAGATGAAGATTTTCTACTCTAACCTTCTCTGCCTCCTCCCCGATCATGGCTCCAAGGTTCCTCTCTTTCTTTTATCTTCCCGATATATAATAAATTTTGTAAGTAAAATTATTTTATTAAGAGAATATATTATTAAAAATGAGTTTGAAAAAAAAAAAAAGGAATTATTAAAGAATTGGCTCAAACCAGGGTTAAGAGTCTAAATCGATGACTAATTAACAGATAAACTTTTTTTTTTTTTTTTTTTTAATTTTTAATCCAACTTGCTTTTCTTTTACAAGCTGGAGTTTGATGCATGCCGCCATGCCCACAATTTTTGTGATTAAACGAGGTAAAAGTTAAGCCTAAAACTTTTGCTTACTCCAAATCCACACATAACTTATCCAAAAACTTAAATAGTTACACATGGAACAAAATATCTAAATTTTGTTTTCAGTGTTCAAAATGGACTGTAAAAAAATTAATAGGTATAAATAAGAAAAATTATCTAAATTTTATATAGTCAACTGTTGAATTATATAGAGTAAATTATGCACATATTGAGTTTCAAAATTCAATTAAATGCAGGAAGCAATGCCATTGCCCGATCAGATAGATGAAGCCGTAGCGTACATCGAAAGCTTGAAAACGAAGGTGGAAAAAATGAAGGAGAAGAAGGAATCCTTGATGCCAAGAAAAAGATCGCACTCTTGCATTACAAGTGAAATTCAAGCCAGTACAAAGTCTTCACAACCTTTAGTAGAAGTTCACGATATGGGACCAAATATGGATGTCATTTTAGTTAGTGGGCTTGATGATTTAGCAAAGTTTTACAGCATACTTCACTTGCTTCGTGAAGATGGTATTGAAGTTCTGAATTCAAATTTTTCTATTCATGGAAATTCCTCCTTCCATATTCTCCATGACAAGGTCATTATAAATTCTATAACCATTTTCAGAGCTTAGTTTCATCTCCCCCCCCACCCCCCACCCCCGGGCGGCTGTGTATCTTTAATATTAAATTTTGGCTTATATTTTGCAGGCTGGGAAATCAAGAATGGGATTTGAAGCTACAACAATGTCAAGAAGGCTGAAGGATTTGATTTGTGGATCCACTTGCAGTGAAGTAGAATCAAATCTAGATTTATGGGATTATGGAATGTTCCAACCTGATATTTGGGGGCTTGGAATTTCAGAAGTTATCGATATTGCTTCAGAATATAGTCAATGGTTTTAAAAATATGTGACATTTTTGTGGAGAACTTTACAGTCATACCTAGAACTCAATAGTATATTAAGAGGCAACTTCTATCTTGCAATTTGTGTGTAGTTTGATTGTAAGACGAATTAAAGCATATATCTTATTGATAGTTTGCAAGTTCGACCCTAAAAGCAACAAGTCACTTTTAAGTTGGATGGTTAATCAATCAAGTCAATTTATCCTATATTTGAATGCCATAAACAATAATTAAATAAGTAAATAACGCAACAATTGTTGACGGAGAAACCCAACTGGGTAACAACTTTGGGACCAAGCCAGTAACCTTCATTATAGACAATGATAAACTTACAGTACGATCTAACCTAGAAAATTTCACTAGACTTGCCGATCAACTTCCTGCAATCTCCCAGACTCGCTGGAACATACTTCACTCACACTTGCTTCCAATCTTCTACAATTATCTATCTCATGTAGGTCACCAGGAACAATCAGTTTTTGTTCTTTTCCTGTGTTTGTAGTCCAACATCCCTCAATTTTCAGTAATCTCTGAAAGCTATTGAGAAAGTACCTTCCTTGATGTGTTAAGGAAGTGCATATTTTGGATTATGAGAACTTGATGTTTTCCCAAATTTGTGGTTGTAAGAACTCAAGAATCAATGTATGAATCAAAGGGTTGAATATGTTCTTGAATATATGAATGATGCTATAGAGAAGCAAAGTAATGAACAAACACACTAAATTTCATGCAATGCCTTGGGTATTTATAGTGGAAGTCAATTAGGTAGTATGTACAGCGTAAAGCTCTTAAAAAATGAGAAGAAGGGTTTTTCACATAACTCTATCGCTCGAGCAAAATCTCAGCGACAGACGGACGATGGTCTGTCGCTCGATCGATAGGTGGGCGAAGGAGATTCCATTTTTACTACTCGAGCATTAGATGGACAATAAGTTAGCGAATATCTGGCGGCTCTTTTCTCTTATTCCAAACTCTCCAAACTCGAACCCTAGGTTACCTACTTTAACTATACTATATTTCTATCAATTTCTTGACTTCTACAACTTTTTAATTTAAGTCCTTTTTGTCTAAAGAATTATCAATACATAAAATCCTAATAAACTCCCTCTTTAACATTCTGTAACAAAACTATGAAGTACAAGTGGTCAAGGAAGTAAAAACAAAACTATTCTACTCAAGTTAAAACTGAATATCCATTTCCTGCATTCCCTATTAAACTCGTTTCATGAAATCAACAACTCAAATATCAAATGTAAAAGCATGTGATACATGAAGTAAAACAATTGAAACACATAATCATAAATATACTAGCTAGATTGAGATGTAATACTAATGTTAATCAAAACATCAACTGAAACATTAATATCACAGAATATCAAAGCTCAAACAGCTACGCATTATGATATGGAATGCAATGAACATAATCGATCTCCCCGTTAGTGTAAACTCTTATCATCAATTCATTTCTCTCCCCTTAAAATGTAGGTTTCTCTCCCACATAACTCAAAAATGCAGTTAATAACATGCACAAGTATAATTAATGATCAATAGACTTTTCCACATACTTAGTTCAAGCTAATATGGAGTAAATTGTATAAGTAACTCATGTTTGGAAAGTATCACTAATCCTTTGTAAGCAGGACTCCAAACTTTAATTTTGTGAAAAATGACATGTTAAACATCACTTCCAATAAGTTTATTCTCCTACTTATGAAGGTCAAACCATTTAAAACACATTAGGACCTTTCAATGAAATTCATTTTGCAGGCATATTATTCTTTTCTCACATTGACTTTGAGCAATGTATTTTTACATTTTTTTTTCTAAATTTTTATAAGCTCATCATATTTTATTTTTCATAAATTGTTCACATCTTACGTGCAGACTCTTCTCAATCAAGCGACTAAGATGACATTTGTAGCGAGCTTTATGTTGGTTAACCCAAATCAGTTGACCATAGGCACTAGATCATTAAATACCCCTCAAACTTAATTGCTCGAGTCAAATAAGCTCTGAAAAAGGCATAAGATATTGACCTTTTTCTTACAAGGGAATATACTTGAATTTAGGTCTACTAAAATAAGGTCAATTTATGTTCAAGGACATCTTACCAATATGTGACTGTCATCCTAAATCTCACACACGAGGTTAAGTTCCACCCACAATAAATGTATATATGTATATACATATATATATGTATATATGTATATACATATATATATGTATATATGTATATACATATATATATGTATATATGTATATACATATATATATGTATATCTATGTATGTATATACATATATGTATGTATATACATATATATATGTATATATCTGTATGTATATACATATGTATATGTATATGTACATATGTATATACATATGTACATGTACATGTACATATGTATATACATATGTACATGTATATGTATATACATATGTACATGTATATGTATATACATATGTACATGTATATGTACATATGTATATACATATAGATATATATATGTATATATGTATATACATATATACATATGTATATATATATGTATACATATATATATCTATATGTCTATATATATATATATATATGTATTTATTTATTTATTTATTTATTAAAAAAAGGTCAAACACACAAAACAAACAAAATGTGCCGTGCTAATGCAAAAATGATGAAGATGCACATGCATAAAACTTCTACCTAGAAAAGAAATAAACAAATGTGATACATACATCAATGGCTCACATTGATTAAGCACAAGCATACACCATAAATACCTAATCAGTAAGGTATATAAATGCTATATATATATGTATTTATTTATTTATTTATTTATCAAAAAAAGGTCAAACACACAAAACAAACAAAATGTGCCCGTGCTAATGCAAAAATGATGAAGATGCACATGCATAAAACTTCTACCTAGAAAAGAAATAAACAAATGTGATACATACATCAATGGCTCACATTGATTAAGCAGAAGCATACACCATAAATACCTAATCAGTAAGGTATATAAATGCTCTTATCTTTAAGAGCAGTTATCTATTTCAAGATTTTTTAGATTACTCTTCTTTACCCAAACTTGCGTAGTGGAAAGAACATTCTCAGTCATTCGTGTCATTAACTTAGTTAGTTGACTCACCTAATTAGTAAGGAAGTCAATTTGACTAATTTCTATCTCTATTAAACTACATATTTCAATTTTTGTTCAAGAATTTATGACACTTAGACCTTATGTGTCCTAGCTCATCACAATGAAAACACGTAGGAATAAACCTTGGACCAAAGTAATGAGATCACTGATACCTATCCCTAGGTTGACGGGTCCTACGCCGTCTAGTAGGCCTTTGTCCTACGAATTCCTTTTTTTTAGGAACTAGGTTAGAGACATACTTAAGACAGTCTTGGAAGTACTAGCAGCATTGTGATCATTCTCTTTATATCCTAGAAATTCCTTATTACCTGTAGGCTTGTTCATTCATAAGATGTTATCAAGTGAATGAACCATTAGAGAAGGTAAGAAGTTGAGATTTGGAATATTCAAGTTCGCTCAGAATGTTCTTAACCTAAATTTATGATTTCTCATTCTCAGTGGTCAGTTCACCGACTCTTTTAGAGGACTTCTCAAGTTCACATGTAAGATTTTTAATTTGAGTATCTAAGGATTCATTCACAGTTTGATGTGTGTCTTCCTCATCTTCAAAAACTTCCTCAGATTGCTCATTATTGTCTACATTCTCAACCGTCTCACTCTCCTTGTCAGATTCACTCTTAATCTTAGTAATGAAGGCCATATACTTCCATTTCTTTTCTTGAGTAGACTCTTAACTTTGATTAGCTGAGTTAGACTCGTCATCAGTGAAAGTAACATTTAAAGCTTTATCCTTATTACTCCCACTGTTAGAGCACTCACTCAGAATATGGCCAAAACCTTGGCACTTATGACATCTCACAGATTGAGACCTTTTCCTAGATTCATCGAGAACACTTTTATGTCTATCATGAGGCTTTTTCTTATTTTTAAATATTTTTTGAAATTTCTTCGTAAAAGGGCTAACTCTTCATCATTGAATGGCTCCGAATCAGAACACTCATTCCTATTATCCCTAATGGCGTTCAACGCCAAAAACTTATCTTTAGTAGATTTAGCTAAAGTTAGTTCATAAATCTGGATAGATCCAACCAACTCTTCCACTTTAATAGCATCTAAGTCCTTGCTCTCCTCTATAACTGTGATCTTATTCCAAAATCTCTCATGTAAAGATCTAAGGATTTTTCTGACAATCTTAGGCTTAGAGATTTTCTCACCTAATTAGCTATGTCATTTAGGGTCACATAAAAATCATCAAAGGTGTCATCCTCATTTATTCTAATCTCTTCAAACCTAGAGGTCAGTATTTGCAATTTAGAATTCTTAACAACCCGAGTTCCCTCATGTGTGGTTTATAAAATATCCCAAGCTTCTTTAGCTACCTTGCACATTGACACACGCCTAAACTCTTCAGGGGACACTACCATAAAATAAGGCATATAAGGCTTTACTAATCCAATTACATTCATCTATGTTTTTCATCAACCAATTGGCTACAGGAGTGTAGATGACAACACCATTAATAGTGCTAGAGGGAAAAACCCAACCATTTACTATGTTCATCCATAGATTTTTAGAAGGCTCTCATTCTAACTTTTTTAATATGCTTAGTTACTACCATCAAAATATGGCGGGACGGATAATGACTAACTCATCTAGACTAATAGGGTTAAGGATCAACTTTGGGATATGGTACTGCTTGATAGTGTGCAAGTTCGACCCTAAAATCACCTAGACGACGGGGGTGAATAGGTGAAAATCGCGGAATTAAAATTGTCGATTAAAAGCAACAAGACACTTTTAAGTTGTTCTAAATGGTTAATATATCAAGTCAATTTATCCTATATTTGAATGTCACAAACAATAATTAAAGCAGTAAATAATGCAACAATTGTTGACGGAGAAATCCAACTGGGCAAAAACTCTAGGACTAAACTATTAACCTCCACTATAAACAATAACGAACTTACAGTACGATCCAGCCTAGAAAATTTTACTAGATTTGTTGATCAACTTCCTACAATCTCCAAGACCCATTGAAATGTGCTTCGTTCACACATG